GCCTCATTGTTCTGACACACACAACAAAACTATTGACTACACTACACACTAACTACACAAGATTTGCGCTAAACGTCGCAAATCTCTCACATCTCAAAACACTCCTAAAACTACCCCCTTCCTAAACAACTGTTGCCATATCATTTTCTGATTGGTTGACATGGTACATTTTTCGACCAATAGGAAAGGGTGGGGCTTTTTGGTTTCGGCTTTTCTCACAGGTAGAGAGTGCTTTCGAGCGTTTTCCTTATAAAACGCCATTTTTACCGTTTCTTCGGGCAGTAAATATAAACAACGACAGTATTCAGGAAGAAAACCAAACATTGCATATTTTTATCATAACTCTGGTTTTACGTGGCCTATCAACACAATTTAAAAACTGGTATAAGGTCCACAGTTTCCCGTTAATTGTTCCGTCTGTCCTGCTCACATCTCCAATGGTTGTACACGTTGTCATTAACGTGGCTTCACTCCACATCAGCCACGCCGCTTTGCTAGCTAAAACACCGGTGTCGGCACATAAGAACGCTGTTAGCCTGTCAACGATGTTGATTAGCGGAGTATATACGAATGTGAATCGCATCATTGGCTGGACTATTGGATAAGGTGGCATCGTTCTAATCCCATACGGGAGCAGCCAGTCACTTACTGACTAACACTGCAAAACTGAATTGTTAAAGTTTTAATTTTAATTTCAATTCAGGTTAGATTTTTTTTGTGCGCAACGCATATTTTCTGTGCGCAGAGACCGTGCCAGCAGTGCGCACGCGCGCAGTTTATAGGGAACATTGGTGTCAAGTCTACATCTTTGTGAATGTCTCTGGTTTCCTGTTTTATTTTTATAGGTCTTATGTCCTGTGTTCAGTGTTTAAAGCTTTGCTTCCCCTTTATCTCGTCATGTTTGATTAGTCCCAGCTGGGCTCTCCATTCCCGTGTTACTCCGTAGCCCTGTGTTTTCCTTTGCCCTTTGTCGCAGCGTAGACCCTCACTGCTGTGTGTTTCTCTCATGGCTCTGTTTAGATCTCTAGTTCTCAGTTCCTGGTCTGTTTTCTTTTGGTCTAATTTAAGTTCCAGTTTCCCAGTGTTTTTCAGTTCTTAGTTCTCATGTTCAGGGTTTTGGTTTGTTTTTTGAAAGTTTATTTAATGGAGGTTTTTCCAATAATAAAGCTGCCATTTTCAGTTAACTTCCCATGGGTAGTCTAAGGAGCTTGGAAAGACAAGCGTCTGGACTTCTTTGAGTTTTCACACACTTTCACACCTTGGCTCATGTGATTAGGTAGAGGATCATCAGGGGGTCCTTTGTCCCTCTTTGGGGGGAAACTTCCACTGGGTTTATATCTGGGACCTCCACCATTGACCCTTAGAACTGAAGAAGCTTCTTGGATGAGAGGTGAAACGTCTTCAAGCAACTCAAAGAAGTCCAGACGCTTTTCTTTCCAAGCTCCTTAGACTACGATGACCTGGATGACTGAGAACCTTCACAGACATATTCCCATGGGTAGTTTGTGTGCTTTTTTGCTACTGTTCACCACCACAGCGAATTTTAAACCAAACAATCAACATGTGATTGATGCAGACCTTAATTTGAGAAGACTGCATTAACTCTTTAAGAACTGGAGCCATTTTTAGACATAGTTCCAATTTCAAAGGCTCAAAATGAACTGAACAAGTTAATATCACTTTTAATGTAAGGGTTGATTTTAGTCAGTGTGTTAGTCACCTGAAGTTTAGAACACGTGGACATCACCAGACGTTGTGCTTTCTCCACTGAGATTGTCTACCAGTACTTCATTGCAGCATTCAGGTTTTTATTTAATAATGAAAAAACACGCTTTGTTGGGTCGACATTAGGTGACTGACTTGGCCTTTGAAGTATATCCCGTTTCTTTGCCTTGAGAAACTCTTGACTTGGTTTTACAGTTTTTGGGTCATTATCCACTTGCACCATGAAGCGCTGTCTGACCAGTTTTGCAGCTTTGGCTGAATCTAAACAGAAAGTGTAGCCCTGGACACTTCACAATTCACCCTGCTGTGTCTATCAGCACTCACATCATTAATAAACACCAGTGACTTAGTTCTCCTAGCAGCAATACATGCCAATACCCTAACAGTGCCTCCACCTCCATGTTTGACAGATGATGTGGTATTCTTCACATCATGAGCCGTTTCTCTTTTTCTCCATACTTCTCTCTTCCCTTCACTCTGGTAGAAGCTTATCTTGGTTTCATTTGCCCCCCCAAATTTTTTTCTCAGAACTGTGCAGTCTCTTTTAGATGTTTTCTGGTAATAATCTAATCTGACCTCCCTATTCTTGAGTGTAACCAGTGGTTTGCACCTTTCTCTAAACCCTCTGTATATACTTTCTTGAAGCCGTCTTGATTGTAGACCCTAACAATAATGCATCTACCTCTTTGAGACTATTCTTGACTTGGTCAGATGGTTTGAAGTTGTTTTGATATTTAAAATGACAATAAAGAGCTAAATAAGAGCTCGAAAATAAAAATGCACCACTTGGAATCAACCACAGATACTAGATCTGCTTAGTTTGTCATGAAGTAACATTCAAACTGCTTGTCAGCCAATTACTTTTGAGCCTCTGAAAATGAGGCACCGTGTATAAAAACTGTTGTAAAGTCCAATTCACTGAATCAAAGCTGCAAGTCTGCACTTCAATCACATCTTGACTGTCTGATTTAAAAGCTACTGTGGTGGTGCACAGAGGCAAGATCATAAAAAATGCACAAAAATCCAACAAATTATGGACTTAACTGTAACTCTTCACTGAAATAGTTTTCTCGAACAAAAATAACTCTACAAATGCTTCACAAATGTTTTGTATCATCAAAACAGATTTATATACACTTCCGTATAATACCTCAAAAATGGGGACACTTTTGAGGTTTTTAGCAATGATCATACATGATTTAACACACTAACCTAATCTTATTGGTAGCCAGCTGGTAAAATGTCACTGAAAGTATCAGGTTTCTTACTGTGAATATGAGGGATGGCACTGGTGTGAACAGGTCTGTGTGGACCAACCCCAGAGCAGCAGGGAGTTGACCCTCTCGAGCTCCAGCATAGAACAAACTAGAAGAGAAATTTCTTAAATCATTATTTATTCCAAAAATACGGAGACTTTAATTTCTTAAGCCCCATGCCCACCTGATCTCCTGCCTTTTGCCCCCCTATCAGGGTGCGTTGGGGCTTAAGAGGTTAAACTATTAATACTAAATGTATAAAATGCTGTCTTATGTTTCATTGTACACATGCAAACACACACCGCGCTGAAGTAAAGAGTGATCCATTGACTGCACCAAAGCAGGACAGTCCCACAAAGACAGGAATGAGCCAGGACATCACACCAAGATGGTACTCCCCAAAACTCTGCAGAACAGAAAGAAAAAGCAGATGAGGAGAATTTCTGACCACAAACAACCAATATGCATGTCCCAGTTAAAGATGAAACACATCATATTAAAGAAAAGCAGTACACTCACCACAGCAACAGCCTCTGACTCAATCATGACTTGAGGAGAGATGGTGGTGAAGTAGGCCAGGTTGGTTAGAACATATACCACCGTGACTATAGGCATGGATATGATGATGGACAGGGGCAAGTTCCTATGGGGTGAAAGGTCGAAGGTCATTTGAGGAAAAAAAACAACAGCGTGTAACACTGTATGTTCTGGTAATATCAGACTGTGTTATGAGATGGGACTGAATTCATGCAGGGTATGCAGTGAGGAACACGACTGCATAATTTTACTGGATTTTATAAATCATTATTATCACATGCTTTTATTTTTTTGTAAAATGTAATATTTTAGTTCATATTTAGTCCATAGTTCAGATTATGTCAGTATCGCTTGGATACTTTATCTCTGTGGACTGATGATAGACAAGCTCAGTCCTGGATGAGAGCAACCATGCTCTTGGCAGATATTTACAAGACAGTCTGTGCCATCATCACCAAAACAACCGTCATTACATTTAAGTCACCTCTCTGGGTTGATCATCTCCTCCGTTACATAATTCAGGTAATTCCTGGGGGGGGGGGGAGAATAGCAAAGAGGTCATAAATCTTTCAAGCAAAAACAAACAGAAGCTAAAAATAATTCAATTTTATGACCCTCACCAGCCTCCAAAAGCAAAGAGACCACTGTACAGAGCCAGGACAATATTCCCAACTCCCAGTTTGCTCCCTTCAAACGCCTTTTCTGGGGTCAGATATGGCACATCACCTGCTCACATACAGAAAGAAGAAGAAAACATCTGAAAGGGAAGCAGTTCTCCCACTGCCAGGTGTAGCGCCTGGAGGAGTTATGTGCTTAGACATTGAATAGATTCTTTTTGTGCTGCCGACACATTTTGTCTCTTGTACCAGGCCGGCCTGTTGATGCCTGCCCTTTGACATGCTTGTCAATGCACGCTCACCATGGTAATAACAGAAGCGAAACGCAATATTGTGTCAGGACAATTCACTATTTATGCACAATAAACAAAGGAGCATCTCCTCTGGGGTACAGAATCACGATCAGTTGACATTTAAATATGAGAAGAAAAATCTTCTCATAAGTAAACTTCAATCCATTTATACAATACACTGCAGTCAATGAATCCAATGTGTGTGTGTGTGTGTGTGTGTGTGTGTGTGTGTGTGTGTGTGTGTGTGTGTGCGCGAGTGTGTGTGAGAAAGAAAGAGAGAGCCTGGCATTTTGGTGTTTCTCTCCCTCTACCTGTCACTTTCAGATGGTAATGACCCTCCTTATTATTTTCCAACTCTGTTCTCTTGCTGGTCTGCTGAAAAAGTGTGACAACAGCCGGCAAGCTTCACTGCCTAGTTTCCATGGTAACAGAGTATGGCGCACAAAGGTGGTAGGCGCGGCCTTGTGTAAGGAGGGGAGCAGCAGATGCAGCGTGGAGCAAGTGTGGCCACGCTGTCTTCCCGCGCTCTTGTATTGTGAATGGCACAGCTCGGACGGATTAACGTGCGTTGCTTTTACAGTCTTAGACGGCACACGTGAACCCACACGCTTAGGGCTATCATATAGAAAAATGTTACTACAATGCAATTATTTCAGGCAGTAAATTACTGTCTGTATAGTCACCTTATTTTCTGTACATTTTCATTTCATTGCAGTTTCATTTGCACGATCAAAACCATCCTGGCACGCTCTGATGCCCATGTTCATGTCTGCTCAGGCTCAATCACATGGCTCTAGACAGACAAGCTCTGTGTTCCGACTCAGTAAGTGTGCTAACAAGCTGAAAGCAAAGCAGTCTGCTTCGTTAGGCTCATTAGCGCTCGTTAACAACTTGTTTACCATTGGAGATAAAAGAAGTAAACCTCACATAGATGTCGTGTAAAGACGAGAATCATAATAATTGATGCTACTATATAGTTTGCAAAAAGCCACATAATGCAATGGCATTTACTTTACAGGCATGCTGTTAGTTCCATAATTACTCCAACTAAAAATATTGAAAACAAAGGAGCTGTGTTTCCAACACAATGAAGGGAAGCTGCATGTTTACGAGCAGATCTGAAATGACAGGTTCAAAGTGAGGACACTTTTTGAGGATTTTTTACTGACTATTAAAGTAGGTTAAATATTGTTGAGGATTTAGATTTTATTACACTCACAAAACCTGTTTTTCCAGCTTTGACCTGAAGCTTATTTTACTTCTCTGTTAAAAATTAATAAGTCTTGTGATTAAGGCATAAGATTTGTTCTCAACAGCCTGCAGTCATGCAGCTGACTTTGTTTGTTCTGTGGTATTTTGCCACTCACCTGTGGAAATCTGAATGAAGCCAAAGAGGATGATGATGATCAAGGCTATCAATTTGGAAGCGGTGAACAAGTCCTGGACCTTGGTTGCTGCCTTCACACTGATACAGTTTACAAATGTCAGGGAGGCTACAAGCAGCGGGGAGACACAAAACACACTACAATCAAGAATCTGGTGAATGACCAGCTGCAATGAAGTGTCTAAAATGTGTATTTGACCTAAGAAAGCCCACCAACATCATGTACTCACTAAGACACAGGCAGGCAATGAGCTTGGCTGCGCTGTCGGGCACGACGCAGTTGGGGTAGAGAGGTTTCAGAAGGTAGGTCGCAAACACCAGTGACACCACATACTGCGACGACGGCCGGATGATGAGCATCTCCACCCACAGCTTCAGAAAGGCAGCCAGTTCGCCATATACCTCCAGGATGTAAGTGTAGTCTCCTCCTGACTTGACAATAGTTGTACCCAGCTCTGCGTAGCACAGAGCACCCATGGTGGATATCACTCCACAGGCGGACCAAACGATCAGAGAGAGCCCAGCGGAGCCGGTCTCTTTGACAACACCTGTGGGAGTGACGAAAATGCCCGAGCCGATGATGGTGCCGATGATCATTCCGACACCGTTGAAGAGGGTGATGCTGCGTTTGAGTTCAATCTTCTCCCCCTTGCCTGGCAGGCTGTTGGTGGAACCTGTGGCAGCAGGCGGAGAACCCACTGGCTGCTCCACAATGAGACCATCTTGCTCAGGCTCTGCTCCAGTCGCTGGTGGTGAGAGGACAGCAGAAGGGGAGACAGTCAAATTACAGAGTCTGGCTCATTTTCAGACAAATGAAAAGAATTTACAAGCTTTCTCGCTGAGTTGTTTTAGGCACTGGCAACTTTGAAAAACTATGATTAATAAAAACAAACAAACTCTTGTGTTACTAAAGGAAGAATTCATATAATTTTTTAAAAATAGACATTTTTGTAAATCAGCACCTATGAGATTTTCCTTCTGAACCTGCTGTCCTTATTGAACTCTTTCTATCCATGTAAACACACACTGCATCTGATAGTTGTGTTTTCATACCCACGTTCCTAATATGTGCCATTTGTCCACACCTGTCACCTGCTACCATGAAAGCATCTCCTCAGCATCAACTCTACAATTCTACTCTTGCATCATCAATGTTGCATCAGAGCGCATGGTGGAATAATGCAGCGCTGCACCATGTGGCAGTTAGAGGTGCGTGAGCATGCACTGTACCTACCCCCCATCTTCTCCTTAGCGACGCTCTCTCGGCTGCCTCTCGATTTCAGCTCCGGCTCAGCCATCTTCCCTCTCAGTCTGAGACCCCTTGTCTTGTCTGCTTCCTCCTGCAGCCCTTTTTCTTCCTTTCTTTATGTCCTCTTCCTCTTTCTGTTGATTTACACTCTGCCTGTCTGTCTCTCCCGGACACACACACGCGCGCGCGCGCGCGCAGGTCTCTCTACTTCCTGATTCGTCCTCTCACTCACATGTGGCCACACTGCTTCCGTCACTCAGACTACAATTCATCTGTACCTGATCCTCTCTGTCTCTCTCGCTCCCTCTCTCCCTCCCATCCTATATCAAGCACACAGCAGGGAGGAGCTGAACCTTTGTGATGCTGCTGCTGCTGCGTGAGCCTACGCCCATTCCAGGGAATGATGGGATACCTAAGAGGGGGAAGTAGGTTGTGAGAAGGCACCATTTGGAAGGAATACCATGTGACGCTGTAATCTTTTTGTGTACTGCCTAATCCTGCAGTATACAGTATGCCTATGTGTGTCACTGGGTGCTTTCATGTCAGAGGCGATTAGAATAAATGCTGTAGAGCTGGTTTCCCTCCCTACTGGGGACCAAATGGAAAAAAACAAACTGTCTTTATTCTGCCTGAAAGGTGAGATCACAAAGAAAATGGAGATCCATTGGACATTTTGAGTGCAGACAGTGTGTAATAACAATGACGAAGCTCGTTTATGTTCCTGTATTCTTTTATGGGCTACAAGGTGTTTAAACTGGACCATACCCAACAAAAATTACAATATCATAATTACTCATCAGGAGTGACTTTTACAATCAATTGGGGAAAGGATTTGGCCTGAAGTTATTGGTGCTTGTAGGGTATGCATGTTTTATCAGAAAGAAGAAGAAATTGGGATTCTAAAGTACATGTAAATAAAATTTAAGTGCAATGATTTGCATAATATTTAAACTCCATATTTAACTGGGAAGGTGTTATTTTGAATCGTTATATCAAAAAATACGCTTATGTTCAAAGTCATTGTAAGGCATATTTAAAATAATGTTTGTTAACATAAAATTGCTTCTCGTGGGTGCATGTAGCGCTGCTAAGCATCCCCCTTGCATTCATTTTTTTGGCAATAATTCACAAAAAAGCTCTTTATAGTCAGTTATTGCCTAAATATTCACCTTTGGCTGCCATCCTTGTTTTGACCTTATGTGGAGTGGTTTCACTTAGACTCCATTCACTGCTCAAACTCCATCAGACTGAACAGAGATCTGCTGTGAACAACACATTTAATGTTCAGTGACAAGTTCTCCGGCCTGAGGTCTGGCCTCAGACAAAAAGCTCTATGTTAGTTAAATCAGAGCTAACAACCTTCTTCTAGTTAACCTTGGAGCCTCCTGCATGCCTGTGGATAGACTCCAAGAGACAGAGATGTTTGCAGTGTGCTTGTATCTTCAGTGAATGAACCCTCGAGAATAAATGGCTTTAAAGAGAGTGAATATTTATGTAGTTGTTTAATAGTTTGAATTAATCCACATTACTTTGTAGATGTAAAAAAATATATATTTTAATATCAGAGACTTGTTTTTTTTATTTATTTTTTTATTTTAAAGCTTTAAAATTGACCATGAATCCAATTATAAAAGCAATAAAAGAGTAAAAACATCTGAGGGGATGAATACTCTCTATATGCAATTGAATATCACCAAAAATGTTTTGAAGAATCCAGAGAAATATATCTATGCAGGGGGCAAAGCTGAAAATCTAATACTGAATTGCTTGTCATAATCCACATACACAAACTTAAAACTCTACTTTGATAAAATACATCTGATATCTGAGATATCGGAGACCAAGCTCGTTTAAGTTTGGTAAAAAAAATATTCAGGGGGGCTGACGAGGAAAGTGTGAAAAATATTTTTTGGGAAAATCACAAACTATCAAAAGAGGGAGCACCTGGCTGATATCAGCATCTGCACAGAAGTCTGCATCTGTGCTTGAATGGGAGCATTAGTTCACATTGCATGAGTAACGAACCAAATAACATATACAGATTTTAGGGCATCAGTGCCTTTTTCAGAGAAGGCCTTGCTTAATTCACCAGCATTTCTGCTTAAATATGGGAGTATTTCTCACAAGCCTTTCTTTTTCTAAAGTAGGTTGTAAATATCAAATCCTGCAACCTAAAGCCCCCCAATACCTATATGCACAAAGTACCCCATACAATAAAACGCTTTACAACTATGTCTGATTATATGGAAATAAATCCGACTCTCAGATTGATTTGCCTAATATATGCCTGGATTTATTGTGTGAGCCCTGTGCTCGGCGCTAATGAGTTGCATGTCCAATATTTCACCGCAAGGTGGAGCCCTAGACACAATTCAAAACCTGAGATATATTTTTCTTCTTCTGAAGATGAACCTGGTCAAACTCACGGTGCTTAAACAGGATTTGTCTGTTTTTTAAAAGCTCAGGGAAACTTACTGAGGAACTTACAGGAACATCTTAACAATTTGTTTGATCAAATAAATAAATATGGCCAACACTACAAAATAAATAAATCAGAGAAATCCTTACACCCTAGACCTGGCATATTTGTTGTTAAAATAAATCACTTCAGACTATTTTAATCTATAAAAAATTATATTGTTTTATAAGCTTTTCTTATATTTTAAATGGTAGAAATGCTAAACAGGAGGGAATGTCTAAATGAACAGTAATTAGGAACCTTACCATAAGGAAACTGCAGCCTTACCATTTTTCATTCATTTTTATAAGGACCTATTATTATATTGACTGCACCTGTTGCTCCAAACCGCAAAAGTACGTGAAGTAAAAGTGGGCCCATATATTCACAGACATGCTTGGACGAAGTGAACTATAAAAGAAGCATTCGGAGAATGAGCCCCGTTCTGTTAAGGCGTTACTAGCAGCTCTCTTGCATAACTATCGACGCTGACAAATTCGACCTGCGATCACCGAGCTCAGTTCAGCAGAACATCTCAGCTCACTAGTGGTGGAGCGCAGATCGATCCTGGTTTGCAGCCAGGGCACTTTCTGCCACGTGTCCGGGGACTTTCCCCTGGGCGAAGAGAGGAGAAACCAGGTTCCCTGTATGTAGCCCAGAGTGCAAGCCTTCTGAATGCCCGGATGACATCAGCAGGAAGCGGCGCATAAATAGAGGGGCAGGCGGCACATGTTCAACATCGCGGTGTCTCAAAAAATATGAACAGCTGTATCAGTGTTAACAACTATTTTACAAAGTGAGAGTGAATATGTCTCAGCTGTTCTGTCCCAGAAAGAGCGTCTCCTCTTGTTTGTAAGGAGCTCAATTTGAACGGATCAAAGCCGCGGGGCATCATGGGAAATGTTAAAGGCGCAGTAATAGGTAAATATCAAGGGGCCAGAGGGGTGGGGTTTTTTTTACACTATACGCTGTACCCACGTCTAGTGTATCACTTTTAAATAATTCAGTAGACGCAGTAATGTCCCCGGGGGGCTGGAGGGACACTAACATCCCTTTTAGCTTTTCAGAAAATGCCATTATAATTGCTGTAAATTATTCAAAACACCACATCTAAGACAATAAACTCCACACAAACGCCGTGTGTTACGCACACATGCATAAATTCAGAGCTGACTTAATTTACTCATTTGTATTATGATAATTTAAGAAGAAATAATTAGCATTTTTATCCCTTGTTATTTTTCCGGTTTTCAGTGGAATTATCATTTATATTAGCGCACTGACAGTGTCAGTACGTTGTTTATAAAGGTATTTTAATGAGGCCAGGTCTAATATCATAATGCTGTCTCTGAAGAAGCCATTTGATTCGTCTGCGGTGGTCTCTTTCCCAGCATGCCTTGTTTCCCAGCATGCCTCAGCACCATTTTCCCCATCGTTTCAATGGACAGGTCATTTCGGATGCAAAATTAGCGAATATAATTTATTCTTACAATAAAGCAACACTTTCTGTCATACACGGCTTTTATTTAGGGAGGAGTCCTCGCACCGTAACAAAGGCTACCGTCAGATTCGTCCCTATATAAATAACATCCAGTGTTGCTTACGTCTTCCGGTGGGAGGAAGCTCATTGTAGAGGTCACGTGCAGAGTGCTCGTCACTCCTCCAGTTACCTCGGGGAAGGTCTGAGACAAGAGCCAATAGCTGCTCTTGCAGGGCATCACCTGATTCGGGTGAGCGAGTGAACAGAAATAGTGGTGCCGACGCGAGCACGTCTCACAGGAGAAGCCAGGTGGAGCAGTTTATCAGCTCCTCCGGTGGATGTGGTGCTCGCTGGCTTGGAATCACTCGCGGCTGGCGAATGAGTGCGATGTATGAGGTGGAGTACAGCTCCAGAACCCAATTCAGACTACTCTCCTTCCACCTTTTCTTCTCAACTCTTCTTTTATTCTGTTTCAAAGCTCTGAAACCCAGAGAGTAAGCATCCTGCGTGGCAAAAGCGTGTAAACGTGCTTTAAACGATTATCCAATCCAAAGTTAGGATCATTGCCCGCACGAAAACAGTATGAAGCACGTCATATGTTTATGGCTGATAGATTTGCATTTGGTGTAGCTGGTCCAATAAATCCATTTTAGCAACTTTATTATAATATTACATTTACAGTATTTTCCCACTAAAAATATAAAGAGGAAAACTGAAATATAAATGCCTCAGCAATATATTAAAAAAGTAAAATTTCAAGTGACTTGTCAGTAACATTTATAAACACAGTGTGAACTTGTTTATCATTTTAGGAATATCCAGTGGATACAAACTAAACCGTTTGAGCAATATTAATTGCTTGTGTTCCCGCTGTTGTAAGAACATCAGAAGGTCTTAAGGGGCCAAACAGCTGTGAAAAATAATCATTATAATTCTTCCTTGTACTCTACAGTTCAGCCTAGTAGGTAATGCTTCATTAAGGCATTTAAAAACACACAGGCTGGAAGAAAATATCACGCCTTATCTATAGCATGACTTACAATTCCATTAAAATCTCCTGGATTCATCTAAGACAAGTGATGTAATGTTACAAGCAGTGAATATTATCATTACCATATTACAGTTGCATTGATGCAACTGCATGCATGCAGCTGCATCAATATTTTCCCCAAAATCTTGCAGATCATTAAGTTGTTTGTTGGGAAATTTGTG